ATTTTAGGAAAGTGTCGACATTTAACATTCAGATTTAATATTCAGATACAACATTAAGCAAAAATATGCAAAATGTAAGAAAAATAACTAAAATAACATTGGTGGGAATTTTTTAATCAGAAAGTGAACAGTTAAAATGTGTTGGACAGTACAATTAATGCCTCAATATATATATTTCAAAACATAACAAAAAATACTGAAAGCAGCATCTAATTAGCCCGTAAAGCAGCAGTTTGTTATGAAGGCTATGATATTTGCTTTTCAAGTTTTTAACTTTTCATTAAAGCACCACTGGATGGCTCTAGTTGACAAACAGCTGTGTGATTCAACATGTGGTGCAACTGGCTATCGCAGTTCACTCTACATATGGACAGAAAGACAGACAAATAAAGAGATAGATAGTGATGATTCAGAGCACAGACTTTTTGCAGCTTTCAGTGAAAATCCTCCCTTTTTTTCTTTACATGCAGTCACACACGTACACCGTTTCCATTGGACTTTATATCTCACAGTCTTTGTTCCTGTCACAGATTAAACTAATACACCACCAGCACTGCCCACACACCTTCCTGTTTGCTCACTGTGTATAAGTCCACTGTGAGCCCTGAACACCTGCAGGAGGGGAAATATCTGTCTCACTTCCGGTCCTTTCCCAACCCCACAACAAAAACCAGTCTGCTCACAACATTTCCCTCAGATCTGGTTTGATCATATTTATTTCCCCAGCGTTCCTGTTTTTCTAGATACTTCTCTCGCCAGAGGAATGCCACTGTTTACTCGCACACCCCCTCTTTTTGTTTTTGGTTTTACTAGCTGTAATTATAACAAATGGAATCCATCCCACTTCTGTTATTTTGGGGTTTATAATTATAAAACTGTGGTCACATTTCTTTTTTAATCAGTGTTTTTTTAATATAACAATCGTTCGCTTCTGTCACCTTCACACTTAGAAGTGGAGTTAAACGAAAAGCTTTGTATTTATGTTTGCTTCAAAAAGCTAAACAGGAAAAAAATGGTGGTTTCAGGTTGAGTAACCTGGACACCCAGCAGGAAGTGAGGTCCATGTTTCAGGGCGGGTTCAGCGGTGAAGGAGGAATAGGTCAGGCCTGACTAACAGTGGAGTAGGAGGTGTGGTAGAGGCTAGAAGACGAGGCCCGGCTCGAGCAGAAGCCGACTATTTTTGGCCGCCTCTTCTTCCCTCGTGCTAATTCCTCTTTTCACCCGTTCTCTCTTTCCTTATTCCCCAGATGTGTTTCCTTCCTGAAAGTCAAAAAGGCTTTACTTCTCCTCTTTTCCAACCCCTCGCTGACGCACTTGCTTCCCCGTGGGGGGAACTGGAAGGGTGGAGGTGGGAGGGCCAGTAGCTAAGATTGAGCAATTATTTCTTATTTCGAAGGTTGTGGTTTTGGTAGTTTGGAAAAAGATGGGGATGGTTCCTTTTTTTAAAGAAACACATTCTTAATGCGCAAGCAGCAATACAGACTGCATACTTCATACAACAAGGTCACTGATTTACAAAAAAGTCTGAGGTGGAGGTAAAAGCAAACCCACAGCTGTTTCTCGATTTTACTTTTATTCACCTCTTTTTTGTTGTTTTTGGATGTTTGGCCTTCGGTGCTCAGAGCGACAGGGTGTATCAAGGAGAGCTACGAAGGCTGTTCTCACATTTATCTGTGAAATAAGAAGATATTTAGACATTTCAATCTCATTTTAACACAATTGTGAGAACCCGTAACCGCCACAGTACAATCTTTACAGTAAAGATAAAATAATAATAATAATAATGATGAAAAAAACATCACTTTGTTCTCCTCATGCTTGCAGTTCCTCCCACAGACCAAAAACAAGCATGCTAGGTTGTATTCTGGCCCAGGCCTTCCCTTGCAAAAACTTTGCCTGGATAAATACAGATCAATAAACTGAGGAGAAATGTGATCAGATACAATAAGAGTCAACGAGGGTTCGGATGTGGACACTCTGCACTCTGTGGGGATGTGAAAGAAAATCATAGGTTGTACCGTAGTGAGACTCACACTGGATGACAAAAGAAAAACTGCAGATGTTTTGATGTAAAATTATTCATGTTTTAACCAAAAGGTTGTGGGTTTAAAAATATTTCGCTTGCAAGCTTTAGACAGCTACATAACAATCGAAGCTTTATGATTAAACTGTGATTGTGTACACCAATAAAGATATCAGCTTTTTTGACCTGTTTACATTTTAAATTAGGTTTCTGGTGTAAATATTTCTGAGCTATAGAGGACTGGGTTTTTCTCACTTTTTCATCAAAATCTTATTTTTGTGTATTTTTTTATTTTTGCAGTTTTCACATATTACAAACATGCTGTAT